CTTGTAGTTCATAATTGGGAGTGTCAGGTGGTCAGGAAGAGACCTTGGAGCAGAAAGACGCTGGCGTGGAAGGGAGGCTGAGGCCATGTGTGCTGCTGAGGTGGCCACATGCCTGCGTTTTCTTGCAGTTATGTCTGAGAGAAGCCATGATTTCTGGCAGCCCAGGCAAGTTGCAACTGCCCTATTACCTTTGTCTTGATTTCACGCCCCAGAGTTGCCCTTCCAGCAAATCCCTTGGATTAGACATGCATAACTATATTCCAGGGCCTAATTATCTTATTAAGCAAAGCACACCCCGGGAGTGGCATCTTGGAGAAAAGCCCAAGTGCGGTGATGCTGGAAGGAAGCCAGTAGTCATCGCGGCTCCCATTGCCTGGGGCTCTGCTCTAGCTGCTCCTGAGGGGTGGGAGAGACAAATTTCCAGCTCTCTCCCCTCCTGACCAGCGGGAGTGCTGATGGCCTGCCATCCCTCATTCCATGTCCCTTCTAGAGGCTGCAAGGATAGAAGCTGGCCAATATCTTCCCCAGAAAACCACACCCTGGAGATCTAATCCTTATCCAGTGATACTGAAATGAAAGTTTGCCCTTGGGTGTACACAGGATCTAGGTGTATGAGGTTAATGTCCATGGTGATAAAGGTGGCTTCTGGAATGTACTAACCGCAGATCTTAATGTCAATTCAGTGGTTTCTAAAATATATGGATTAATATGTTATAGTAGATATAGAGATTTTATTTAAACTCACATTCTTGTAGTATGTACTGCAGAGCCTGAAAAACTGGTAAGCACATGTGGAACTTATCAAGAGTCAGGACCCTGAAACCTTGTTTAAAGAACCAAGTGTCCTGATGCAGATTCCAGTAAACTTTTCATTCTGTATTTACAGTCTGGGGATAACATTTCTCCCAGAGATGATAAAGGTAATGTCATCGGTGGAAAAGCAACGTTCTTGGATGCCTGGGAGGTAGGTTCCAGCTTCCTCTACGTGTGCTGGGAGAGAAATCTTCAGTTATCCATGAGACTTCCCATTGATATGAAAGAGGCCGTGTGCCAGATGCTTTCTAATTTCATCATTGTGATTCTCTAGCTCTTCTAATATCTTCCTCATCACCTTTGGCTTTTGAGTGCATCTGATACTATTTAGATTTCAAGTCTAGAACTGAGTCTTCAAATAAGACTGGAAATACAATGTACCCCACTTTGGGGAACACACATACTGTTCTCAAACCAGGGCGAGCCATTTGAAACAGGAGGTTTCGGCCTGGGTTTGCTCATAGCAGCTGAGTAACCTAGGGTCAGTTTTGTAACTCTTGTAGTGCTGAGTTTTCTCTTCTTAAAAAAGAAGTCTTATAACACATACTACTAATATATATTTTTGAGGGTGCAATAAAGATGAAGATGGTTTACATGCCAGGAACATTAGTCACAGTAGCCATTTAATCATCTAAACCTATAAGACAGGGTTAACATCCACCTTTATAAATAATGACATTTGAAGCCTAGATTGATTGGTGACTTGCGCAGGTCATGTCACAATGTGTGTGGCAGAGCTGGGATTGGACCTAGACTCATCTGAATCACAAGTCCAACCACCAAAGCCATCAGCATGGTGCTTGGCAGGCAGTGAACACACATCCAGAAATCAGGGAGCCTGAGTGCCCTGCTTCCCAGATCACATCATGACCTGTTTCACATCATTCACATTCAAAGTGAATTAGGGATCAGTGTTTTCTCTGATCGTTTTTTGTTATACCATTCTATCCTTTTGCAAATGCTAGTAGAGAACGAAGTGGAGGTATGAGTTAAAAATGATCAGTGGCATCTGACTCCAAGAGTTAATGGTGTCATAGTGGCAGCTGTCTGTGTAGGGATGCATGTAGTTGCGAGTTTGTATTGTGTTTTACAAGGGAAAATATATTAAGCCTCACCTTTCTGAAATGCTTAGAATTGACAAGATTCAATTAAATGTAGCTTTTTTGTGTAT